GGCAGAGAGATGATCAAAAAGATTATTAAAGTTCTCTATACTTGCAGATTGAAGTAACAGTCTATTTTAGACAGCTTTATGTGGCCTCCCCTAACAAGGTATTTCCAAATTATTTAAAAATGGAGTGAATCCGTATAACACATTACCCAAAGTTTATTTTTAAATAGTGTGTGATTAGTCAGCAGCACTGGTGTGCATGAAGGACTTGGGGTAAAATTTTCAAATGTTCTCCTTGTCAAAAGTGACTCAGGCCAGATGGTAGACTTACCATGTCTCCCAGTACTGCTGTCAATATGTTGCACTGTTCTAGGCTGCCTTCTCAACTAGAAGTGGTGTAGCTGTTTGTCTTTGGATAAGCTAATTAGTAGTGCTGAGTGGGCACGTCTACACATGCAATTAAAAACTCTGCGCTTATTGTGCCAGAGTTTATTGCTTTCAGGTGCTGCATCTGCACATGTACCGAGGACCACAGCATGTTGAGCTGAGTTGGAGCTGGCCCGATTGGCAGGGAGCCCAGGGGGTCGGCCTGCCAGCCCCAGGCTGTTCCCCCAGCTCTATATACTGTGGAGGGGCTGGCTGGGGGGCTACAGTGTGGGCCTAGCTGGCAGGCCCACCCCGCACTGAAGCACCCTCAAGCTTCAGCCAGCCGGGGCAGCATCTATGTATGTGTTGCTGTGAAGTAAAAATTTCTGCAGCAGAATAGCACTTGTGTTGACCAGTACTACCTTGCTGCAGAATAAATTAGTTTACCCCACTCTAACAGGGGAACGCATGTAGATATACGTTTTACTACACAGCTAATTAGTCTACACAGCAACTTACCTGCTCAGAAGTGGTGCTATCATGGTGCCTTGTGTAGATGCGCTGTCACTGGGTGTACCTACACAAGATGTTTACTATGCAGATGACTAATTAGCTGCACAGTAAATGTCTCATGTAGACATGCCCAGTGACAGTACTGATTAAGCCACGAAGGAGTCCAGTTTGGTGGCTGAGGAAGCAACCCACACCAAACAGTGTGCTGTGCTTGATGGCACCACTTCTGAGGAGGTAAGTTGTTGAGTGGACATAATCAATGGCACTAGAGGTCACAAGTCCTATGGGGCGCCAGTGGCACTGAAGTGTTTATGGGCTTAAGACATCTTTAAAAATAGAGCTTAGATCCTGAAGTCACATGGGCACTTCTGAGAATTTAAACCACATAACAAAAGTTTTTAAACATAAGGCTGATTAGATTTGTCAGGAGTGTTGAAACTGCAAAGTCCTAATGGGGTGGCAGAGGCAGTGACATTTTTGTTGCTTTGGACTTTTGTATTTTCTTTCCAATTTGACAGAGCCCTTCACTACTGGGCAACATTCCTCCCAACCAGATTGGCGCCTCCTGCTCTCTTCTGCTCCCATGTGAGCAGGGGAAAAGTTACCCTGAGGCTGGAAGAAGCTTTGGAATGATCTGGAGCTATAGGTGGGATGGAGAGGAGCTGAAAATCTCATCCCACTCCAGGTAAAGTCAGTGGTCAAATCCTTCCTTGATCTCAGTGGCAGAGGACCAAGTCAATCCAGTCAGCTCATGGCTTGATTCACTACTTTCTATGTACTTAACTTACTGATATAGTTAGACTGTACACTCTTTTTGGGGCATAACTCTATGTTAATATACCATAATGGGGGGGCTAGCTCTTGATGGGTCCCTGGGCACTACTGTAACTAACATGGCTACTAATAATTAGTTTTATGCTGGTTTGTCTCCACTGAGACCACTAGAGTTACACTGAGGTCAAACTGGAGTAACACAGTAGTGGTTTCAGCCTATACCCTACGGTAAATCTGTATAGGTTCCTCTTCTGTACCATGGAACTCCCCTCTCCATACAACTGAAGGGGATTTTATAGTAGACACAGTTTAGGGGGAACCCCTGAGTCAGTGGCACTGTCCAGTTGCAAAAACCTTACTCTCTGGCATATTACCCTCTTAATCTTCCTCTTTTGGGAGGTAGAGTTCACAGTTCTTCACCAGGAAAAACTTTGTTTACAACAGAAGTACTTTAAGGCTGCACTGAAATCTGGTTTTACACCTTCTAAAGCAGAAAACAGAGGGGCAAAGGAGTTCAGAAAGGTGGCTGCTTTTTTTTTTTATTTGGATGTGTTCTAAACTTCTGAAAAGGGGACTTTCTAATGGGAGCATCCTCCAAGCTTTACTGGTACAAAAGTGCCTGCTTCCTTACATCTACATTTCTACACCATGAGTCTATTTTGTATTGCAAAGAGATTGCTGCCATTCCCACTGAAGTCAGGAGGAAGTTTCTACATGTGTCTTTGATAACAAAATTGACTCCCCCTGCTTTGAAATTATGTTGAACAACTATTTAGAAGAAACAGTCACTTTTCCTGGCATGCATTTACTCAGAGTGACCTTAAAAGTGTGAATTACAAAGGGCTGGGGGGGTGAATTTAGTGGTTAAACAGCAAGGGAAGCTGCCTCATACTAGGCCTGCAAACTCGATGTTCACGCAGAAACTCCCATTGGAGGTCAGCTTGGTTAGCCACTTTCTCATAGTGGGATAGGCTGCAAGATGCTTTGGAGGGTTCAAAATGTATGCAAAGACAGTGGGGGATTCTGGTTTCTTGGTGTACACATGCTATGAAGTTTTAGTACTGCAGTATTTAATAGTATTTTATTATTTGGCCCCAGTTTTCCCACCTGCCTCACATTAGGCTCTTCAGCTTCGATTTAGCACCTACATGAAAATGGCTTCAGTTCAAGAGAACCTGTCCTCCTGAAGTCTCTAAGTCTAGAAAGTGAAACCATTGCCTAAAGATGAGTTCAGGAGCCTGGTTCAGTATCCAGGTCTGAGCATTTTGTTAATTGGGGATAATCTTCTGTTATTCTGAAAAGGGTGGGGGGGGAGGCGAGCAGGTAGATTGTTTCCTACATGTTTTCATGAAAAACAGAAGCTCCTCCTCTTTTTCTTTCCTTTTCCAAGGGATTTTAATATATATATATATGTGTGTATGCATGTGTGTGTATGTACATCTATATGTGTGTATATGTGTGTGCATGTATGTGTGCATATGTATAAGCTTTGTCTGCAAAGTGAACATCTTTCAACTACCTTCCTGGAACTGGGGGGAAAGATGGAGTTTTATCCTCAGGGTCTTGATTTAATTCACCATTTCCCATTTGTGAACAGCATTTGTGAGCTTTGGACAAAAAAAAAAATAAAGGTTCAAGGCTGCCACATAGAGTTAGAGCTTATTCAGCACAATACCTTTCATGGCCCTTGAAACTTCAGGCTGAGCCCCCCAGATCTTCAGTGAGATATAGTATTTGAGGTGCCTATATATTTCCCCTGGCTCAAGATGCTGCCCTTGCGTGGGTGATTCAGGACAGTCGGAGCAGCACAAGTGAGCACGTGTTTGATCGACCTCTTGCCCTTTTGCCTGCACCTAAATGGTGTCCTAGCGTCTGGCTGGAGACGCATTTTGGGCGCCCCCCCCCCCCCAATCTAAAAGGTTTTATTTATGTAATTGTTTTTAAAAGGGTGCTAATTACATCTAAATTTCAGAAGATGGCGTTGAAGATTTGCAGTGCCGCCGGCACAGGCACGACGAAAAAGGCAATGCACGACTGGTGTTCATCTGATACGTTGAGCACAGAGGATGTGGATGCGTGTTGGGATCGTTAGACCCGAGCAAGAGAAACAAGAGAAGAGCTGCTGCTCGAAACACGTGCATGAAACCTGAAAGGTTTCTTAGATCTAAGAATCGCTCGCGGCGCCAGACCTCGCCCCGCTCAGCGGAGTTTTAGGGCAGTGAAGGGAGTAGACCGGGTCTCTGCCCCCCCGCAATTGCCCGGGCCCGGGCTCTGGCAGGGGCGGCTCCCCGGGGTTTCGTGTTGGCATAGGCGTGTGCCCGGGCAGGGCGGCGGGGCAGCCGGGGCCGGGCCGGCTCCTCCCGGCGGGGCACGCG